AAAATATAATAGGACTTTACCATCTTGAGGGTGTGAGTGTGAGTGTGGGTGTGGGTGTGAGTGTGGGTGTGGGTGTGAGTGTGGGTGTTTCTTTTCTAAATTGACACCCACACCCACACCCATCGTTCCATGATTTTTGTGAAACATGATTGAAAAAGTGTATTAAAGTTTAAGAACAGAACATTGATATCCCATATCTCGTTCCCGCTCACTTGCCAAAAATCATCAATTACTACTAATTAATTCGTACGAAATATACTTTGTGTTCATTAATATCAATTCATTTTCCAGCTAGTAGACCTCCGTTCTCCCTAAGTGTTTACAAAAGAACGTCTCCTTGTATTCCAGTTCCAATAGTTTAAAGTATCATTTCAGATTTAATCGTGTATTCAACTTAAGTTAGATATTTACTGTACAAGTGTGGTCATGGCCGAAGGATTATCTAATGATTTTCGTGAGTCAATCAAAAGAAATAAAGAAAGAGTAGCTCTCATATGGTTTCAGTCTTCTTCGATTATCGATGCTGAATTTAAACAAGCGAAAGACCAAATACAAGCTATCTGCAACTGGATATTTTATTATGATAATATTGAAAGAATTGTTACCGATTTCCAACAGATCGATTTTCGAGCAAAGTTTTTTATCATTACCTCCAACGACGATGCAGTGGAACTCATCCCAAGGATTCATCAGATTCGCCAATTAGATTCGGTATTTCTCTTTTTGAACAATGGCACTCAAGACCGAAATTTCTTGAATCAATTTGATAAAATCGTAAACGTATTCAGTCGCTGCAATGATCTTGTCAGCTCAGTAAAAGAAAATATTATGGATGTTGAGGAACACATCAAAATCTTTTCTTTCTATAATCAACATGAACGAGCCACCCAAGATATATCAACTGAATCCGCAAAATTCCTTTGGTAATCTAGTCTGATTAAACATATCTATTCCCTGTATAATCTCGTTTTTCTTCTAGGTTTCAATTATTCAAGGATGTTATTCTTCATTTACCTGAGCCTGATACTGCTAAAGAACAAATGATCAAGGTTTGTCGTAAATATTATCGAAACAATCGACAATTTCTTAAACAAATCGATGAATTTCAGGAAGATTATCATCAAGCTGTCTCTATCGATTGGTACACGAAAGATGGATTTATTTATCGACTGATTAATACAGCTTTGCGAACAGAAAATATCGAACAACTGTACATATTTCGATATTATATTGCCGATCTTTCCAAACAACTTCGAGATGAATATCAAATGCTTAAACAGGGAAACAAAAGTATGATTGAGTTATACCGTGGAACAATTATAACTCGAAACGAAGTTGAGCAACTTCAAGCAAATGTAGGTCAACTGATTGCTACGAATACCTATTGGTCAACGAGTCGAAAAAAATCGGTTGCATATGCCTATATTAATGGTTGTCAGAACGATACCGATCGAATGGTCGTCTTATTTCAGATTGAATGCAATCTTCGAAATGAAGAAAATTCGGTGATTTTTGCTGATATCAGTGGCAGTAGTAACTTTCCCGAAGAAAAAGAAGTTCTATTTGATATCGGAGCAGTTTTTCGAATCGAGAGCGTTGCTTCAGAAACAATCGATAAGACAGATGTTTTTGTTGTACAAATGAAAACAACGAACGAAGGCAAAGATGTTCTTGAAGAATATCAAAACCAAAACCGAGAAGAAATGGATGTAGAAAGTCCAACGATCATGTTATGCACAATTTTGAAACGAATGGGAAAATGCGACCAATCTCGTGTGCTTCTTGAACGACTTCTCGACCATCCGAATGGAGAAAATCTAGTTCACATTCACAATCGTCTTGGTATTACCTATAAAGATGAGCATCAATATGACCGTGCATTGGAGCATTTTGAGCAAGCACTGAAACTAACCGATTTTTCTGATCCATCTCAACGAAAGTATGCCGCTTATATTTTCCATAACAAAGGTTTACTTTCTGCGACAAGAAGGCAGCTTAAAGAAGCACTTGAGCTCTATGAACAAGCGATCACAATGCTGAAAAAAGAGATAAGTCCTCCGAATACTGGCATTGCACAATTCTTAAGTAGCATCGGACGCATTTATTTCCAGCAGCGAAAATACCAAGAAGCACTTCAGTATCAACAGGACGCATTACAAATGAGAGAAGAATGTATGTCAGCGAATCATCTTGTTCTCACATTCAGCTATGCAGATATTGGCAAGATTTACCAACGTCTACATAATTATGAGCAGGCATTGCACTATCATAAGAGAGCCTTAGACCTTCGACAGAGATATTTACTACCGAATCATCACAATACAGCATATAGCCTTCGTGACGTTGGCAAAATTTATTTCGAAATGGGTAAGCACGAGCAAGCGCGCCAATATTATTTCGACTCACTGGAAATAATAGAAAAATGGTTGTCGGCCTCTTTCAAAAATTCTATGCCATCCATTCTGGAAGCTATTGCTAAGACCTACGATAACTCTATGCCTGAAGAGGCACTTATATATCGATTGAAAGCATTAGAAATTCAAAAAAGTATCCAACCACCTTGAGGGTGTGGAGATGTGAGTGAGGGAGTATTATTTTCCCATCCAAACTAACATCCGCCTACACACATCCCAGTGTTCTCTCTCTTATCCCCTTTCTCCTTTAATTATATTTGTATCGTGTTCTGTTTTCTCTTCCTCTCTACTAAAAAAGTGCGTGTTATATGTTAGTTAGATACATTTGCATGTAGTGCATAGCCGAATAAACATCAAGCCCACACAAGGAAAAAATGCTTATGTGCCTCTCCATTTGTCATTAATGGAACTATATATCCATTTTCTGTTACATTCTTCTCTCGATTAACTGAATATATTTGTAATGGAAAATAATGCATATTCATAAGCCATACATCATTCGACTAAATTGTGCAAGTAGCATAATCTAGTTGAAAATAAAGAGACTGTTCTTGATCCAGTATTAAACACAACAAGAATTGTTTGCTTCTGACAGCTTCTCACAAGCTTCAATTTCTAATTTGGATCTTGGGTATCGTATGAAGATCTTTGGCAAAACAAGATTTGATGTGAACAAAAGAGCATACTCGGGAACATACTTGTCTTTGAGGCACAAAAGAAGAGTTCCGAGTGCACATGCCATCAGATATCGACACATAGTTTGTTGATGCGAGCAACTATGTTAGCATTCGATTGAAACAGCAGAAGGCAATGAGAATCTTGCGCTGAAATTTAACGCGAAAGAATCAGATTTGACTGTCAGAACTGTTGTCTATCTATGGCTAGGGTGTGGGTGTGGGATGTGGGTGGGTGTGAGCGTGGATTGGTATGGGTCGGTAATGATTTGAGTACCCGCACCTATACATCCACATCCACCCTCACGTCCTCGTCTTCATTGTTTCTTCTCATTTTATTTTTAAGAAATAATAGAAGCATTGATACGACTGTAGATGAAGTGTAAGCCAATAATCTTTGGAAGAAAACAATGAAGTATTAAATTGATGATGACTCTCATTCTCATATATCAATATACATCTAATCTCCTGAAACAAAATACTTATAATGATAGTTCCCCTTTATTATTCCAATTATTCTTTATTCTATTGTTATTATTTTAAAAATCAAGAGGCAAACACAAAAACTAAAAAATGTTTGGTGGTACAACCATTGTTCTGTTTCTTTTCTTCTGGTTTACAGAAGCGAATGTTCAGTATTCATCTGAGTTGCAAGAAATGAGTGACTCCTTGTCGAAACAATGTAAGTATAACTAATGAGTCGACGGTATTAATTTGCTAAACTTTGTTTCTTGATTAATTTTTAGCACGTAACTGTGAGAATATACTTCCACCACGTGTATGCAATCATATGACTTCAATTCCGCTTCATTCAAAATGTAAAAAACCGCAATGGTCAACTCAAGCTACGACAGTTGGGTTAGGATTGTCTCAGCCTATGGGCTTGTTTATTGATCAGTACGATACGGTATACGTAACTGAACATGGTACTCATAGTATTCAACATTTCATGCAAGGCTCAACAAAAGGAATTCTTGTAGCAGGTGGAATGGAACAGGGATCTGGTCCTATGCAATTAAATTATCCTTCATCAGTATTTGTTGACAAAGATGGTAACATCTTTGTGTTGGATACTAACAACTTTCGCGTACAAAAATTTAGTCGTGGTAACCCGACTGGTGCAACAATTGTAGGTGGAAGAGGAGAAGGATCGGAATTATTTCAGTTTGGATATTCCTATGGACTTTTTGTTGATGATCAGGAAAACATTTATGTATCAGACCGTGATAACCATCGTGTACTCACATTTTTACGTGGCTTTAGAAACGGAACAGCTATCATTTCTCCTGGTGAATTAAACCGACCACATGACATTTATCTTGATCGGTGCAACACTTTGTATGTCGCTGATTTTGAGAACCATCGAATTCGAAAATATCCTAATACTTACCAAGCAGCTGGCTCAACAATTATCGGCGTTGATGGGCAAGCTGGTAGTGGTTCTCAGCAACTAAATAAGCCGTATTTTGTGACAGTCGATCGTTATGGCAATGTGTTTGTTACCGATCGATACAATCATCGTATCCAACGGCTAAGTATTCGGGATGGAACACTTCAAACTATAGCTGGCATAACTGGAGTTGCTGGTAACAGTTCAGAAAATTTACAAAGTCCAGGTGGCATAGGGTTGGATTCAAAAGGAAATCTCTATGTCAGTGATCAGGCAAACAATAGATTACAAAAATTTGCTTTCGTTTCTGGTGATCTCTGGTGTTAGTTTTTCTTTTCTTGTAATGACGATAGGTAAAATGATTTTATCATGTGCCTCGTCAAGACACACTTTTCATTAAAGAAACAGATTGCCAATAACTATGCAAAGATTTTAAAGGGAAAGTCCAGAACACCATCTGGAGGGCGTGGGCGTAGACGTATGATAAAATAATGGGAGAAACGTCTTTTGATCACCGAAAAAGGGAGAAATGATCACT